ACTTGCCTGGAGAGGTTTCATCTGGTTAACAGCTTCTGCACGCCTCCCCACCACCACCACCACCACCATCACCACCACCACCACCACCACCACCACCACCGGGCCCAGCAGCCGCCGCCGAATCACCACCCCCCACATCACCACCGGCCGCAGCCCCATCTCGGCAGCTTTCCCGAGAGTTGCAGCAGCGACTCGGAGTCCAGCTCCTACTCGGACCATGCAGCCAACGACTCAGATTTTGGCTCCAGTTTGTCCAGCTCCAGCAACTCGGTGTCCTCGGAGGAAGAAGAGGAGGAGGGAGAAGAGGAGGAGGAGGAGGAAGAGGAGGAGGAGGAGGAGGAGGGGGGCAGTGGGGCCTCGGATTCCAGCGAAGTCAGCTCGGAGGAGGAGGACTCGTCCACGGAGTCGGACTCCAGCTCCGGCTCCAGCCAAGTGTCAGTGCAGAGCATCCGTTTCAGACGCACCAGCTTCTGCAAGCCTCCCAGTGTGCAGGCGCAGGCCAACTTCTTGTACCATCTGGCCTCCGCAGCCGCTGCAACCAAACCCGCTGCTTTCGAGGATGCGGGCAGACTTCCCGACCTCAAGAGTAGTGTCAAAGCGGAGTCGCCGGAGGAGTGGAATCTGCAGAGCTGGGCCCCCAAAGCGTCTCCGGTGTACTGCCCGGCCGGCCTGGGGAGTTGTTTCACAGAGATAAGGAACGATAGGGTATCTGAGATTACATTCCCACACTCTGAAATTTCCAGTACTGTAAAGAGAACTGACCTGACAATTAACTGCCTGGCGGAGGGGGCCTCTTCACCTAGCCCAAAGACAAACAATGCATTTCCACAACAAAGAATACTCCGAGAGGCAAGGAAATGCCTACCAGCAAGTCCTACGGCACACTGTGCAGATAACAACACAATAGCTGCTAGGTTCTTAAATAATGATTCTTCAGGAGCGGCCTCAAATTCAGAGAAAGATTCCAAAATCCCTCATTGTGCTGAATTTGCTACGGATTTGTCCCCTTCACAAGCGGATTCTGCAGTGGATGCAGCAGCAGCAACTAAAGCTGAGACTCCCTGCACGAACACAGGAGACAAGACCTTGCTATTTCTGCACAATATTAAAATCAAAGTAGAAGACAGTAGTGCTAATGAAGAATATGAACCTGACCTTATTACAAATAAGCTTAAGTGCGAGTGCAATGATACAAAGGGTGAGTTTTACAGTGTGACTGAAAGTAAAGAGGAGGACGCCTTGTTAACCACAGCCAAGGAAGAAGGCTTTGCATGCCCTGAAAAAGAAACTCCTTCCTTAAATCCACTGGCTCAGAGTCAGGGCCTTTCATGCACTTTAGGTTCTCCAAAACCTGAGGATGGGGAATATAAATTTGGTGCCAGGGTGAGAAAAAATTACCGGACACTAGTACTGGGAAAGCGACCTGTACTTCAGACACCTCCAGTCAAACCAAATTTGAAATCAGCTAGAAGTCCTCGTCCTACAGGTAAAACTGAGACACATGAAGGAACACTGGATGATTTTACAGTTATAAACAGACGCAAAAAGGTAGCCAGCAATGTAGCATCAGCAGTGAAAAGGCCATTTAATTTCATGGCAAATTTTCCTTGTCCACCATCACTCATTATTGGGAAGGATGGGGATTTGTGGCCGGCGTATTCCTTAAACACCACTAAGGATTCCCAACCTCCTCACAAGGCCCATCCTATATGGAAATGGCAGCTGGGCGGTTCTGCAATACCTCTTCCACCTAGTCACAAATTCAGGAAATTTAATTCATAAAAGTGTTTTGGAAGATATTTTCTTGAACCCTATTACCTTCCTTTTGTTGTAAACTGCACAGGATGGTTTGTACAAGTCCATTAATGTGTTACACCCCTTTTGGAGCCCTGGTTTATCGCATTTTGAAGACAGAAATCGGATTACTTTTTTCCCATTGTGGGTTTTTTTTTTTTTTTGGGGGGGGGGGAGTAGGATGGGGGCGGGGTGGGAGAAGGGTTGGTTTACATTCCACAGACTACTTCAGGCTAAAGACTCAAGTAAAACTCAGTTATTAAGGTAGAGCTGGAACACTTTACTGTTTCAAAGCTAATAATGCACCCGGTACCTCAATTCAACTGCTACAAATAAATGTCAAAAGGTTGAATAATAAATATTACAATGAGCCATTAAGTTTATGCACTAGATTTCAGACCTGAAAGTGTAACTGTTAATTCAGTGAAAGTTTGTTAGGTTACATGGTTACATAGTGAGGTAGAAAGAAGTTTCTGTGATCCCAAAATGTTCTTTTCTGGAGCTCTTGTTTGTGGGATATCTTTTCCTTTTCCTTCCCTCATTCCTTCTCCAAGAGTAGTTGCACTTAATTTTCCTTCCTTCTTTCCTTCCTTCCGTCCATCCTTCCTTCCTTTCTTTTTTTTTGAGTGGAAAGACTGGGGAGTCCTGCTTGAATGCTGGTAAAAGCTGCCTCGTATATACTGAGTAAAATAAATATGAGATTGCTTTTTTTTTTTTTTTCCGGTAAAGGGTGTGATTTTACTTCTACAGCTACTCCTTGCAATTGGAAAAGCCCTTTTTGTGTTCTCACCCAAAGGTTTTAAATAAGGTGACTCTTACTCACTATTGTCCTGCTTACCTTGTGGTCTGACTCCTCAAGTTTGACTCCTCAAACTTGCAAAACAAAGTAGTTCTCTTAATAGCAGGATATTTTATGGTCTGACTCTTCATAGTGACAAAGCAGTAAATACAACCAAGAAAAGTAAAATGGGTCAGAGTTGTAGGAGTATCCCAAATGAAAAATTACAGTTCTTTCAGGGCTCTTTGGTACCAGAACTCAGGCACTAGGATCTTACTACCTTTTACTTTTTCTGCATCTCTCTAAACTTCTGTTTTTAGATCATCCTGTGAATAAAGCAGGAGAGTTTCTACTGCAAGTGACAATCAGAGGTGACTATCTATATTTGCACTTAAAATCAAAGTAGTTCAACATGCAAATGGCTAGGGTCTAGCCCTTGGTAAGGGCCATGCTGGTGTACTATGTTGTGATGATGGAAGCAGTAAATCAAAATTATGGAAATTTGCACTGTTGAAAAGCATGCTTTAGCTTTATTTTCAATTAAAAACACTGTTTAAAATTCCTGGTTCCATACATTTCTACTTATTCCAGATTGAAGAACGGCTAACAGGAATGAATGGTTTTGTTGACATTTTCATTTGTAATGTTTTTGCCTGAAAGAAATGCATTTATTGGGTGTAGTGTTTTGTTGTAATACCATGTGATGAGGGCAGTCAGGTTCTGTGCAAAACACTGATTTCTTTCTAAATAACAACAAAACTTTACAAACTTGTTACAAATCAAGTGCAAAAGTTTCAGGTTTAAGAAAGTGAAGCAGAGATCAATTGCTATTTTAATGAAAGTTAAATCTAATAATATTTGGTCCACCTCCCTAAGTCTGTCCAATTAAATTGTATCTCAGATCTTTGCCACCGTAAACCTAAGAAGTTGCATCTATAGATCATAAATCATAAAACAAAACAAAACATCAATAAGATGTTTACTGTGTGAATTTAGTCACTATCTCTCAAGGAAATTCAGTCTTTTTTTTTTTTTTCTTCTGCCCTTATCCTAATTCCTACTCCCTTTGAAATTTTTCTTTTGTCTATAAATGTTTCAGATAGATCTGGATGGTCTCAGCTCTAATTGCTGTATATGCTCTGTGGTTTTACTCTTACTGTAAAGGACAGAGGCTGAGAATACCTGCATCCAAATACATTTGGATGGAGTAAACAGAGGCTTTGAACTGCCTCCCTTCCTTTCCTTCTTGAATGTTGCCAGATGTAGGTTCACTGGATCCTTTTTTATTGGGATGATAGATATGGTCAAAGCAAAAATTGTGGGATGCTATCCTTGAATTCATGTTTGTGTGTAATTCCAAAGACCAGTACAAGTTACAGTTAAAGCCCCCAGAAAGCTGAACAATTGGCTTCTCAGTCTGAGTTCTTTCCTCTTTGGAAGGCCATACAGAATTTGGGTGCAGTGATTTGTCCCGCAAAATCAATCTGTAAAAAGTGTGACATGCACACACTGGCAGTCTGTAATTTCTATTCTTTAATTACTGCTAAGTCAGGAGAGTTCAAAATATGATGACTACTACATTTAGGCTAGTACTTTTCTTGCTGGCTATGGAATCATTGTTCCTATATTATAAACTGAGAATATATTTGAAGCCTACAGATCTTGGGTGTGGGAGGACTGCTAGATGGAATAAGCACAATTTAGAACAAATATACCCTATGGAATTTCTGACATAAAATATCGGCTTCCAGCTTTGACACTTGGTCTCCAGCCCTCAGAGAATCAATAGTTTCAGTTTATAGGAGCTGGAGAATGAGCAGCATGGAGGCCGAGGCATTCCAGAGTGATACCATCAAAAGGAAAGAAATTAAATAGTCAACACAAATTTCACCCCACAGTACTACAACAAGCCAGCCAACCACAGCAAAACCTGAGTTGGGGCTTCTGTTAGGAGAGTATAGCAAATAGTATTCAGTAACTTACAAATACAAGGTATTCTTTCAATTTCTGGTAGTCCCTTAGCTGTTTTCCCATTCTGCTGAGGGAATTATTCTCAGTACAGTTTATTTCATTTTGGTTGTTTTATGGCTAATGACCACATCTAGATTTTCTAAGATGCTATAAATGTCCCATTTGTTCAAAAAGTTAAGCCTAATTGAGAGAAAAACAAAGTTACCTCCATTGATAGATTGCATTTTTACATTTAAATGTTTTCAGGTGATAGCATTTTTTTTTAAAGGCATTACATGGTTCCAGAGTCACTTAGTCCTATGTCTAAAGCTCAACACTCACAAACAGAAGGAAAATACAGAAAAGGGCTCCTCCTCTGACTTTTTGGGGAAACAAGCTTATTTTTGGTCTCCTGTAACATAGTTTCCTGATAAGACTCTGAAATGAAGACTTAATTATTTTTTAAAAGAGATGTGTGTTCTCTGTCTTCCATAGTCAGGTTATCTGCCTTCTTAGAAAATGCAGCTTGCTCTTTTTCAACTATTTACTTTTTAAAGTGGGTGTTCTTTTCTACTGGCTTGCTTGATTACAGTGCAGTAATCTCAATAATGGTTGTTTATTTTAAAATCAACAACAAGGAGCCACCACTAAACAGCAATAACACAAACTAGATGGGCTGGTGTGTGGATTTTTATCTTATCTGTGTCTGGGTGACTTTCAGTGGTCTAGAAATTTTTCAAAGTTCCGGTCACAAGAATTGGAAGTTTCTGCCTGATAGGAGAATGATAGTTTTGTTTGAATGCAGGAAAAGATATAGACTAATTCCTCAAAAGCATTTTTTTTCCTTTCAGAGAAAACAAAAAACAAAAATCCTCCAGGGTAAAAAGCAAAAACAAAACCCTCACATTTAAAAAAATAAAGCATTAGTATCTACAAAAGATAGAAAATGTGGTGAGTTTTGCTTCACCTTGAAAATAACTTCCTGCTGATAAAGGATGTGAAAAGGGAGTTTCCTAGAGCCAAACTAGGGGGGACAAATTAAAGGCTCCCCATCAACTAACCTCAGGAAATTGACAAGGAGGAACAGGGCATCCACCTTAGGGAGTCCCCTGGTCACCCAGGTCTTCCCTAGGACTTTGCCCTGCCCTGGAAGAAAGAAGTATTTTTAATGCTAGCTTTGGTTTTGGTTTGCTCTCTAGGCCAAAGGGTATTTTTGCAAACTAGCCTGGGGGGTAGGGACGTGGGGAAGATCTAGGAGGTTGGGGGAGGGCTGCATTTTACCTGTTTGGCAGGCACTCTTTTGCAAAAAAAAAAAAAAAAAAAGGAGGGGGCCCAGCTATCATTCTTTGCCCATGCCCTAGGCCCCCGCTCTTCTCTCGCTCCTTTCAAACTGTGGCGGCCTCACAAGCTCCTACTTTAAAAGGCCTGAGATGTTTTGCATGAAGCCCTCACAATAGGGGTTGAGGGAATTGACAGTTTCAAAAACAAGGCGTTCAGTCCTTTCCAGCTGCCGGGCCCGCTCTCTCGCACCAACTCCTCGTTCCTCTCTGCTGGTGGCGTCCTCCGGAGCGAGCTACCTTCCCCCACCCCGCCAGCCTGCATTCCCGCCGGCCCCACCCCGCCCCCGGGCTGTGTTTGTAAACAGGGGTCAGTGTCCAGGGGCTGCGGGCGCGGGGCTTGGGACTGGCGGGCTGGTAGGGAAGGCAGGGGACGGCTGAGCCGGCGAAGGGCCGGCCCCGGGGGGACTTAGGGGTTTCGGGGTCCCTTTCCCCCTCGTTTTCCACCTAGGTGCCAAACTCTGGCCCCCGTGCTGACCCAGGGCAGCTCTTAGCTCCCTGGCCTGGGCCACCAGCCCCAGAAAGATGTTTAAATGCCGCCATTTTGCATGGTGGCAAACAAATTTCTTTGTGACTTTTTTTCCCCGCCCAGATCTTGCTCTCCTCTGAATTTGTCACCTACTGGCTCCCCGGGGCGGAAGAGCCCGTACCCCGGTGCGCACGGCCCCCAGCTCCTCTCCACGCAGCCTCATGTCCCAGTGGCCTCAAGGCCAGGCCCACCGGGAGCAGGGGCAACGGGGCGCGCGGCCGGTCCTCAGGGACTGGACCGCCTCCGCTCACTTTGCGCTCCTTTTGTGTGTTCTGAAGTCACCTCCCACCCCGGCACACGCACACACTGCCTAGCCATTTCTCACCTTCTCGCCCAGGCCTCATCTCTCTGTCCCAGGCAAATGGGGCCCAGCTTTTTTTGCTTTGGGCGGAGGGCTGGCCAAGGTCTCCAAAACGCGTGTGTGGAACGCAAGTGGCAAAGAGATGAGGCTTCACACTGGGCCAGCCAGCATGGCTGTGAACGCCTTCTGGGAAGTGGCCCAAGACCTGCGGCCGGGACTCTGGGGAGGGCTCGGGTGCGCAGGCGAG